GTCTGGGTAAGAGTTCCCAACAATGCGTGGCTGAGCAGGGACCAGCAATACCCCCTATGGGGTTCGCTTTCTTGGGGCCCCAGCCACCCCCACCCCTGCGCACATCCTATACTCCATGATCCTCCTCACTGCCAGGAGTCCCTGAACCTCCGTCAGCCCGCAACTCCTGCCTCCCCCTTAACTCCCCGCACCTGATGGGGGAGTGAGGGGGCGTGACTGAGTGGGATGGAGGCAGTGCTATATTTGAATGATTACATAAGCCAGCAAGGAGGCATTTGCAATGTGATTTCCTCAAGGTCGGGAGGCAAGTTGAGGCCGGGGTCCCCTCTCCTTGTTCCTGGGCTCTTGGTCCTGGCCCTAAAAAGACCCAGAACTGGGAGCTAGTCTGCAATGCAAGGCAGACTGTTCCCTCTATCTTCTTAGAAAAATAGCCCTCTGGGGCCCGGCGCGGTGGCGCAAGTGGTTAAAGGTCCTCGCCTTGCACGCCCGGGATCCCATATGGGCGCCGGTTCTAATCCCGGCAGCCCCGCTTCCCTTCCAGCTCCCTGCCTGTGGCCCGGGAAAGCAGTCGAGGACGGCCCAAAGCTTTGGGACCCTGCACCCGCGTGGGAGACCTGGAAGAGGCTCCTGGCTTCGGATCGGCATAGTATCGGCCCGTTGCGCTCACTTGGGGAGTGAATCATCGGACGGAAGATCTTCCTCTCTGTCTCTCCTCTCTGTATATCTGCCTTTCCAATAAAAAAATAATAAAAATGAATCTTTAAAAAAAAAGAAAAATAGCCCTCTGATTTCTAGAAACCCAAGACCAGACGTGAAGCCCCAATCAGTTCTCCCCAGCAAGGAAGACAGAATTGGAAACTGCTGGCAGCTCATTAAGAACAGCGCGCCTGCTGGGGAGGGCGGCAGGCATTCAGGCAGGCCAGGTCTGCCTGCAGGCTGGCTGGTCCTGTGCCCCTGCCCATGCTCCATCACTTTGGTCATCTTCCTCAAAGCTCTTGTTCTGAGAAACCCAGTGAAATGGCACACTCAAGGCCTTGGCACAGCAGCAGGTGTGCCATGGCCTGTGGGCATCAGTGCTTGCATTGTCATCACGATTGCCAGCGTGAGGGCTGGCAAGTGACCAAGCCTGGACAAAGATGGGGCTCACTGAACTGAGGTCCAACAGTCAGATGCCCCTTCTGGTGCCCAGCTTGGGAGCTCCTGTGCCATGGAAACTGGTGACAGCAGAGCTGGTCAGGCGGGTGTCCTTGGGCTGGTGGGATATGGAGGTGGGCATGGCAGCTCCTCCTGTGCCCCCACCCACAGAGAAGGCAGGCTGTGCCCACCCGGACTGGGTTGCCATGACGCTGGTCTCCATGGTACTAGGCATACACAGCCCTCCCATCTTACCCAGGAGGAGAGACTGAGGGTGATGGGAACAGAGGGGCTTGAGGCCCTCCGACCCCAGGCCTGGCCTGCCTCCAGCAGCCTCTAGGAGGAACCTAGGCTAAACCCGACAGTTTCCAGCTGAGCGTCAGAAGGGTAACAGAAGACTCAGAGTAACTGTGGGAAGAGGAGATGGATGGGAGGCCAGGCACATGATGAGGGGGGGAGGGACCAGGGAGATGGGGCAGGGAGCAGGGCAGGAGAGCCCAGGGCAGCCCAGAATCGAAAGCCAAGCCCATGGGGCTGATAAGCAGCAGACAGTACTATCCAACCCCAGCTTTGGTCTCAGGGCTTTGAAGGGGGTGGCAGGGAAAGGAAGGAGGAGGAGGAGGTGAAGGAGGAGTAGCAGCAATCTTCCTAAAGCTCTGTATGTGTGGGGGTGTTACTCTACTTACATGTGTGTGTGAGTGCCTGTGTACATAGCACGTGAGCATGTGTGTGAGCCTGTAGCATGCACACCTGCCCATCTGCGTGTGCAGGCACCACCTGCGTGCGTGTGCACATAGCATGTGAGCATGTAGCATGTACATCTGCCCATCTGCGTGTGCAGGCACCACCTGTGCGCTTTTGTGGTATGTGAGCGCCTATGCCACTGTGTCTCCAGGGTGATAAATACGGTGGTTATGAGCTGCAACCAGGGCAGAGAAAGTACGGAAATTTCCACAGGCTGAACATGGTGTAGGAGAAGGCACCTACCAGGGCTGGGCCAGAGACCCTGTCCCTGCTTGCTTTTCCTAAGGCTACACACACACCCCAGACCCTACTGCACCCCCTACAGCAGGCTGGGGGTGGGCAATCCAGAGGTGGTCTCTGAGAGGCCAGAAGTTTTGGCAGCTGCACCTGCATGCACGTGATGGAAACAGACACAACCCTCAGGGCAGGGCCGGGACGCTCAGGTCACCCAGCTGATGAAGCATGGGGGCAGCGTCTCAGGAGCCCACGTGACCGTCAAAGAGGCCCAGGTCTGGGGTGCAGCCACTACTGCAGCATCACCCCACCCTGCTGTGCCCCTCAGCTCCACCCCCACAGCCAAACTGCCTGCCCCTCAGGCCCCCGCCCTCCTCAGTCTGTCCTGGCTGCTGTGTCCCAACCCTGGAAGGGCTCTGTTGCCCCCAAGCCCTCCTGTGTTCAACACAGCTGTGCACACAGCAGGCGCTTGTGGAAGTTGGCATCTTGCTACTATAACCAAAGGCCAGAGACAAATTGCTTGCGGAGGATGGAGATGTACCATGGCTCACAGTTCACAGCTGAATGAGTGGTGCTGTTCAGATGCCCAGAGTGCATAGGGGCAGGAGAGGCAACGGGGAGGAGCCAGGAGCAAGCACTGCCTCCCACCAGACACGGCTGTCATCTTCTGCTTTCTCCCTTCTTAGTATCATTTACTGTTGACTTTAAAGTCCTGTGTGCACAGAACGAATGAGAACATACCAGGCTAGGAGAGGCCTCTGGGTACCCTCTCCCCAAGGCCTATGTGGGAAAAGGGCGGGCTCAGGGCAGTCCCAGGCACGATGCAAAGAGTATATCAGTCCCCACAGCTCAGACCCTGGGTGGTTCAGGTGCCCGCTAGAAAACAGCACAGCATTTCACATCACCCACACCCCAGCTCCTGTATCCCAACAGCAGGTCACATGCAGGACCCAAACCATGTCAGTGCTGTGGAAGCAGCTGAGATGCTTAGGGAATAAAGATGGGGAAGGAGCCTGGGCTCGCTCAGCATCTGTGTGGTTTCTGAACACTTCCGTAAAGCTCAGGGGATCCAATGGACAGAGAAGCAGGGTAGGGAGGGACCACAACTTGGCAGGGCGGGGGACTGGGGTTGCAACACTGGCTTCTACACTCCAGCCAAGTCAGCAAGCTGTGGGTGACCCAGGGAGCCCCCAGAGCACAGGGAGCTTCAGACCTCCTCTCCGGCCCCCAGGTCCCAAAGGCAGGGCCCAGCCCCACCCCATCCATATCCCACATGGATTTCCTGAAACTGAGCCCCTGGCAACAGGGCTCCTGAGAAAGCCAAGGGCAAGAGGTACACTCCCCAGTGCACCCCCCACCAGCCTGTCTGCCTGGAACCCTCCAGGGCTTTCAGGTTAGTCCCCCAAAGCCTTGTCCCCTTTCCCCAACACCTCCACAGGGAAAGCCCCCTCCTTCGCACCCCTTAGCAGGTCTGGCTCCCAGCTCCCCATCCACCACTCCCCCCAGCCAAACTCCCCAATCCAGGAGTACACCAGCCTGGGTCCCTTCCTCAGGGCAGTTGCTTCTAGAAGAATCTGGAGAGAAGGCTACAGGCAGGCACACAGCAAACATATACCACTGCTTAGGACCCTGCATGGCATACTGGCGTCCATGGGCTCAATTCCACGATTGAGTTTCCTGCTGATGAGCACTTTGGGATGCAGCAGGTGACAGCTCAAGCACTTGGGTTCCACCCACTCTGATGGAGTTCCAGGCTCCTGGCTTTAGCTTGTTCCAGCACTGGCTATTAGGGGCAACTGAGAAGTGAATCAATGAGTGGGGACAGCTTTCTCTCCCTCTCTTAAGTAAGTTTAAAAAGAAAAGTTATGAAAGGAGTGAGAGCCTGCTCTTCCTCTCTAGTGGGAGGCCTGGTTCAAGAGAGTTGGGTGGCCCTGAGAAGGTCGGCTGCCCTCTCTGGGCCTGACTCAGCTCCTGGTGCAATAGCAGGCCTACCCCCCTTGGGACCCAGCGTCCAGAAGTCCACCACCCATTCCTAAACTGTGCCACCTTCCTTCCAGGATATCGCTGGCATGGGAGCCAAAGGCAGGGCTGCCTCACTCCAACCCCAGAAGCACGTCCCATCCAGAACCATCACTCCAAGGGCCTCTAGACTTGGTTTGGAGTCAACTTTGAGTGGTCCACAGCTTCCCCCTGGTGGCCAGATGTAGTCACTGCAGCTGGCCCAAGAACTGACTGTAAGGCAAGGGGTGGAACAGGACACCCACTCTCTGCCCCAGGCTGAATGTTGGAGTGAAGGCAGATTCAGAGAAGAAATCTAGCCCCTGAGCACTTGGACAAGGGAGGCCATCCGCCTTTGCCCAGCCAGAGGCAGAAGTGTCACTTGTTCATTTGAAACAGTTGGGCAGGGCTGGAGAGACATGCGTAGGCTCCTTTCTGGTAAGACACCGCCCCTTGCCAAGACACAAGAACTGGCTCCCCCAGGCCCCTCACTGGGTGGGGTCACAGGAGCGGTGCAGAGGGGCAGGCGGCCATCCTAGGTCTGTCTTGGTGATTCACCCCAGTGTCTGAGACAGTGACTGTGTGACCAGCAGGAGTAGTCCTGGGCATACCAGACTGGGCTCAGGTCCAGCAGGGGCTGCTGCCCACAGGCCCAGGCTTGGCACTCCCCAGGTTGGCCAAAAGGTTGTAGTATGAGGTAGTTGGCACACAGCTTGCCCACCTACTCAAGGCCTAGAGACAGCAGGATCCAGGTCCCCACATGATATTCACTTCGAGACCGCCTGTTCCCTGTTAATCTGGGACACCCATCCATCATCAGGCCCCTCAACCAATGACAGGCCTCATCACCACATGGGTAAAATGTGCATATATATATATATATATATATATTTATATTTATATTATCAAAAAGCCCCCCAAGTGGGGAAGGAGCAACAGGTACTCATCCCAAGTGGGGGGTGTGGGGGTACTGATATCCCCAAAGTTCAGCTCCTGGCCCAGGAGACAGCTCCCCAAGAGCTGCCCCCCACCCCCAGTCTGAGGGTCCCCTTCAGAGCACCCATGTCCTGCAGCTCGGGGAGGGCTCCCTCCCAGCGGGGCCCCACAGTCTCGAGCCTCTAATGGCCAGCACACCCCAAAGGCTCTAATTTTTTGCCAGCTCTCCAGTCCCACAAGCTCAAGGGCAGGGGGTGATTGTGAATGGGGAGCAGGTTGGGCCAGGAGCACCGAACACCTGCCACAGAGCCGGGAGTGTTCCCCTACCCCTGGTGCAGACAGGAAGTGGGATGTAGGGCTCACGCCAGGCCAGTGAGAACCCCCAGGAGTCTGAGCAGGGAGGCTTCCAGGCAGCAGCATCCCCAAGCCAGGGTGGTTTCTGTGTTCAGACGTTGCGAAGGAGCTGTGGGGAAGCACAGAGCCTGTGAGTGCTTCATGCAGGCTGAGGGGCTGGAGGGGGAGGGGCTCTGTGACAGAACCCCCCACCCACTGCCAAGGACAGAGGGAAGGGGCTGGAGGGAGAGGGCAGATGTAAACACCCCCTCCTGGGCATGGAGGGCCACTCACGGCAACGGGGTCTGCGGCGAAGGCAGCCACGCTCCGGCGCATCTCATTCTCACTGCCACGCAGCGGGATGAGCGAGACACTGCCCAGCCGGACCTCAGGCACAGCCCGGGACACACGTGAGGGCTCCAAGGGCCATACCAGGCCATCGTGCTGCAGGGTGGGGCAGAACAGGAGTGTTGGGTCCTCAGCAGGCTTCAGCTTGGGATCCACCCCCCACAGAAACACCTCCAGCTGTAACCCCATAACCCTAGGGAATAGACACCCTCAGCTCTGATTAGAAGAAGAGCTCTGAGCCTCACCCCACTGCCAGGACTGGGGTACCCACTGGTTTCCCAGTGGGCTCTGTGACTGCCAGGGGCTCACAAGGTCCCAGGATCCCAGCTCTGAACTTAACATCTTTACACTAAGCTACGCTGGAGCCTGCTCTGGCTCACTGCCTGCTCAGGCCTCCTGTCCCAGGCTCTGCCCTCCTCCCTTTACCCCACCCCGCACCCCCAGCCACCCCCAGCATGCCTGGCTCCAGGCTGCAGACATGCACTGGGGAGGGCTCATAGGAGAGGTGAGAGAATGAACAACCAGCAATTCAGACACTTCTGGAGGCAGTGGGAAGCCTGAATGTGAAAGGAACAAGCACACCCCTTCTCTGCATGGTAGCTTCCTGGGATCCAGGTCCAACATCTGCCCACAGCTGACACCCCACATCTGGCACTTGCATGTTGTACCTGCCCACACCGGGCATCCTGTACTGGCTTCTGCCCATACCTGACACATGCACGTTGCCCACACCCAACACTGCACATGGTACCTGCACGAAGAGAAAGGCAGCAAACCACTCCCGGAGCTCCATCTGTGTGTCGCAGCACAGGTACCTAGAGGGTGGGACAGAAGTGTGCACGCTGAAGAGCCTCTGGCTGACGGGGGCACCCTGACCACGTCCCTGGCCCAGGTCTCAGCAGGGCAGAGCAAAGCAGTGCAGGGGCTTGTGAACAGCACGTGTCACTGGAAGTGTGGGAGAGGAACCCTACTCACCACTGCTGCTTCTCGTGTCGCTCTGTCTCGTGGACCACCGTGAAGCCCCAGCTGCAGAGAGGGGACAGGATGGAAGCCCTAAGCAGCCCCCAGGGGGTCTCCCCGTCCAGCACTCCGGGACAGGGCCCAGCAGCCCGCACCAGAGGCAGGGCTAGCACTCAGGGTCTTCTCCCAAGCGCAGTACAGTACCTCCTGGGCCCCTGCCTCCTCCTCCTCTCTCCATCTTCCAAGCCCCATTTGCAGCCCAGACTGGTCAGACACAGCCAGCAATCCCAGCCAGCAAGTCTGGTGATTTTCTGCATCCCCATGCTAACAGGGATAGGCACTAACCCTGGGACCTACGGCAGCGACGGCTGTCAAGATCAAGGTCCCTGATTGTGCATCACCTGTCTGCTCCCAGCACCAGCAGGAAGCCCAGCCTTGGCTCACCAGGTCGGAGGCCGGAGTTTCTTTTTCACTCCCAGGTAGACCTTAAGGCTCTTCACGGGCCACTCCTTCTCAGGCCGGTGACTCTGGGGTGGGCAGGGAGATAAGGGAGCATGTTAGTGCACTAGAGTGGCCACTGGGGACAGCTCCTTTTACATCCTACCCAGGACACATCCTACAGGAAGTCCTGGGGACAAAAGCTCCCCCACCCACCCCACCCCAGGGTCTCTCTCCCTGCAGCAGCATCAGACGGTCAGCCCTCAGTTCCCGTGGCCGGGCCGCTGGCCCCAGCTGTCCAACTGGGAATCAGCCTGAATCAGACAGTTGGTGGGGGCTGACCGTGTGCACAGAGGCTGGGGGTCGGCGGTCACTAGCTCTGTGAGTCCACAGAAAGCTAACGACAGTGGCTGAAGCAGGCAGCGGGAGACCAGCGTGCTGGGGCGGAGCTCGCCACTGGCCCCACCTTGGCACAGGGGTTTTGGCTCAGAAGCAGATGCATGAGAGCAGTGGCCCCGGAGGAGGAGGCTGGCCGGAGCTGGGCTCCTGCTCTGGGGGCCAGCTGCTCGCAGCACCCCATCCCCACTGCCAGGCTCTCCCGGAGCCAACAGGGGCCCCAGCGCAGATGCTGGTGGAGGGGGATTCACTTACAACCAAGACTGGGAGGTCAGAGGCAGAGCCGGGCCCACCCTACTCCCCACCATTGCTTCCAGCCACCTGCAGGCATGACTCCTCAGCAGGAACGCAAGACAGGACAAGGGATCAAGGGGGTGAAGGGATGGCTGCAGGGAGGCACAGAAGCATCAGAGGGGTGACGTCACGGGAGGATGGTCTGCCAGGGGTTGCTGGAGACTTCTGTACTGTCACAGGACATGTGGCAAGGCAGAAAGAGAGACACTATAGCAGTACAGGCACTTGCAGCCTGGCTTCTTAGGGCCCCGTGTGCATGGTGTGTGGCATGAGTGTCACAGGGTGGCTAGGGCAGGAGGGGTGGAGGGGCCAGCATGGGGCAGCAGCAACAGTGTGGTTTCACTGGAATCCCAGGGCTGAGTGGCTCCTGCTTGCACATCAACAACTCATATTGACAATGCTGAAGGACCCCAGGACCTTCTAGAATGTGCTTTCCCCACATGTTTTAAGGTCTGATGAGGGACCCCAGCATGAGGCTCGGATCCCATTACCCTGATAAACCAACACATTCCAGATTTAGCTGTATCTCCAAAGTTAACACCTGTGCTTGGGTCTCCAGCAGTCCTGAGATGCTGGCTGTCACTTTGGGTGGGTGGCGTGGAGGGTGGTGACAGCTAGCCTAACAGTGCACTGTTGAACCTGAGTTTCTACAGTCTGTGTGTGTCCAGCTGACAAAGGTCTGATTGTTTGGTTTCAGAGTGGGACAAAAGACACTTAGTAGATACCAGGCTATAGGGGCCTTGGCGGGGGGGGGGGGGATGGTTAGTGCTGTGACATAACGGGTAAAGCTGCCACCTGTAGCACCAGCATCCCACGAGTGCCAGTTTAAATCTTGGCTGCTCTACTTCTGATCCTGCTCCCTGATCATGTGCCTAGGAAAGCAGTGGAGCAAAGCCCAAGGGCTTGGGCCCCTGAATTCATGTGCGAGACCTGGAGGAAGTTCCTGGCTTCAGTCTGGTCATTGTAGCTGTTCGGACTGTGGTTAGAAGATATTCTCTCTCTCGCTCTCTCACTCTGCTTTTCAAGAATAAAACAAATCTTATGAAACAAGCTGGGCTTTGGGGCCCAGCACAGTAGCCTACTGGCTAAATCCTCGCCTTGCATGCACCAGGATCCCATGTGGTCACTGATTTGTATCCCGGCTGCTCCATTTCCCATCCAGCTCCCTGCTTGTGGCCTGAGAAAGCAGTGGAGAATGGACCAAAGCCTTGAGACCCGGCACCCACATGGGAGACACAGAACTTTCTGGTTCTTGGCTTCAGATTAGCTAAGCTCTGACGCTTGCAGCCTCTTGGGGAGTGAACCAATGGATGGAAGATCTTCCTCTCTGTCTCTCCTTCTCTTTGTAAATCTGCCTTACCAGTACAAATAAATAAATCTTAAAAAAGAAGAAGAAGCTGGGCTTTGTACTTGTATATTTGCTGGGCTAGGGTCGGCTCTGCACGGTGCAGTTTGCTTGTGGTAGAGGCAGGGTGGGGGCAGGTGTGGCAGCTGTCAGCCACAGTCACAACAAGGGGCACGGGGCACACAGCAGCATGCCTGAACACAGAGGACAGCGGTCACAGGATACAGAGGGCCAGCCGGTGGCCTGACTGCATACACCCCAGATCTGTTCCCTTTCCTAGCCCTCCTGCCTTCCCCACTCCCACCCCCTGTACGGGGTGATCAGGACCCTCAGCCATCCTCCCACCTTTCCTATTCCATTCCTTGCTGAGAGGGGCTGAGTAGAGGAAGGGGCCGGGAACACTGCATCTTGGAACTGAAGACTGACCAGAAGCACAGACAGGCTCAACCAGTGAGGATCTGAGCACAGAGGGAGGAAAGGAGCAAAGAGAAGGGCTCCCCCTGGGGCAGACAGGGCCTGGGCTGCACTGAGAAAGGTTTTATGTGAAAAGAGGTGGTGGCAGGGTCCCATGGCAGCGGCCAGCTCCGCCCACATGTCCTCAGGAGAGGCCAGGGCATCTGCGGGGCTCCCGTGAGACCTGAGCTTACAGCCGAGTCTCTGGAAGATTCTTGGGAGGCACACTGACAGGGGACCCTATCCTAGGCTGGGGTTAGAGCTGAAGGATAGAAGTTTAGGCCATGAGCCCTAGGATGAGGAAGCAGTGCCGACTGGGAAAGGGACAGGGAAGCATGCCTGGAGATGGCTGGGGCCTTGGCTGTGACCCCATGTTCCCACCCGGCTCGCTTGGCTCCCCCCAGGTGGTGTAAGGCAGCCTGCGGTCAGCCCACAGCTACTCACGGTCTCAGGGGCCCCGTTCCACGGCCTCTGGCTCTGTTTGATAGAGGATCAGGGTTACGGGAGAGGAAGCCCCAGGTCAAGAGCCAGGGTATGCATGTAGTGGGGGAAGAGGGAGCTGGAGAAGATGGGGGTGGAGTTTGCCTGTTGGAATCTGGGCTGGACCCATAGCCAGATCAGGGACAGAGTGGCATGGAGAGTGGGACAGGAAGGCTCTGACTTGTGCAGTGACCAGGCACGCCTGGGCTACAACCCAGGGCTCTCACTATGCAGACATTCCTGTGTTGCAACAAGGCCCAGGAACGGTGAGACAGAGCACCATGTGTGAGGGCACCTGGGTACCAGAGCCCCATGGGGCTACAGGGCACAGCAGGAGGGTGCCCAAGAGTCTAGAGTGCTGTTGCGCCATCTGTAGACCCCATGGTGGGGTGCTCCCATGCGCAGACCAAAGGGAGGGCTTATGCATGGGTGTCTGTGCACACTTAGGTGCAAGGGGCCCCGGGCAGGGCAGGAGGTGGCGTGGCTGCTCACCCGGACTTCCTTGTAGAGCCGTAGGCAACTGCTGTTGAGAATGAAGTAGCGGTCATGGAAGCCGTATGAGGGCAGGCCCAGGCCCAGGAGGCTGCGGTCCTCGCGGAACTTCATCATGCCATGCTTGGTGTCACCTACGCGGCTGGCTGGGGGAGGACTGGAGTAGGCGCGGGCTGTACAGACCCCCACCCCTTCTCTCCACCCCAGCCATGAACCCAGGATGAAGGAACTGCCCCCTCCCCTCCACCCCCCTGGTGCCCTGGTCAGCCTGCCCCGCCCTGCCCCGCCACCTACCCAGGTATAGCAGCATGGCCTCCATGGACTGGTGTTTCTTCACCACCAGGTGGCTGTCCATGCCCAGCCCATGCAGAATAGGTAACACCTTCTCAGAAAAGTGCAGGGGACGCTCTGGGGAGAGGCCACATCCATGGTCACCGTCACCTGCCTGCCCACCTTCCACTGCCTTGGGGCACCCAGCACCACCACTCTCACCACATGCTGTGACCAGGCTTCAGACTCGACACATCTCCATGATGGAAGCCACGCAAACTCTGCAGGCCATAAACCACGCCCAAGAGAGCCCCCATGTCCCATCCCCCACCCCCACCCCACACTGGGGGAAACAGCAGTGCCAGCCTACTAGGCTGCTGAGGCTGAAAACGATGCCCTCTCCCCCTCACTCTCCACACACCCAATCAGTTCCACCCATCCGCGTGCCGCACCCTGGCCCACATGACCCATTTCTCTCTATACCAAAACCATGATCCTGACAGCAGATTCCTGCCTGTGCTCCTGCTTCCCCTCATTCCCACCTCGCCCACCCAGCAGCAAGAGGCAAGCCTCCCAATCCCCCAGGCACTGCTCCACTTCCCATCCAACTCCTTGCTCATGGCCTGGGAAAAGCAGTAAAAGGTGGCCCAAGGGTTTAGGCCCCTCCACCTCTGTGGAAGACCTAGATGGAGCTCCTGGTTCCTGGCTCTGTCTTGGCCTAGCCCCGGCCATGGTGGCCATCTGGGCAGTGAGCAAGCAGATGGAAAATTTTTCTCTCTGCCTCATCCCCATGGGCGCTCATGACATCATCATAATCACCCCAACCTACACAACCCCTGCCATCTCACCACCCCACCCCACCAGGCTGATGTCAACCCCCAGCCCATCATCACCCGCAATGCTATTGCCCCTGTTGGCACTGACACAGGAGGCACCATCATCACAGCCACTCTCCCTCACTGTGACCCTCAATGACCGCTGGCACCATCACTACCATCCTGACCACAGCGGGATGCAACACCAGTCAACTCAAACCTCCTTCACACAGCTGCCACCTTCACTCTGCAGGGTCCATGAGGCAGGTGGCATCACACCTACACTGAGCCCAGGGGCCACACACCTGCCTCTTCCCTTTCGTTGACCTCAAAGCAAGTCCAGTAGTCCTTCTCCCTGACGCCCACATTCCGGCGGTCCAGGATCTCCAGGGTGAGCTCCTCGGCAGTCATGGAGGCTGGGATCTGTGGCGACCAAGAAGGAGGGGATCAGCTTACTGGATCCACCGACACGGCTCGGCCCAACCCAATCTGTTGTGGGAGGCGGAGCCTGCACCCATGGCCAGGCAGGGGCCTTGGGCCTCCTGGAGCCTGGGGGTGTCTCAAGCAGCTCGGAGAAGAGCAGGAAAAAGACAAGCCCGGCCTCCGGGTGCCCAGCCCCTACCTTGACATGCTGCTCGGCCTCTGCCTTCTTCTCCTCCAGGTACACAGTGCAGATGAAGTCACCGGCATGCTGCAGGCAGACAGGGCTCAGGTAGAGGCCCAGGCAGCCAACCCAAAGCCCTGCCCCCACCTCAGCCTCGGGGCCCAGCCTCCACCTGGGTCCCACTGGCAGTGCCGGCTACTCGCATCTTCACAATGGCAGTGACCTCCTCCCGCTGCTTCCTCAGCTCCTCCTTGTCCACCTGGGAAGGGGATAGGGACGGGGGACAGATGGTCATGCGCATACAGAGACTTGGCCTACTCTGTCCCCCTGCCCCCTCCCCGGTATCCCCACTTCCATCCTGGGCCATACACTGAACACCACCACATAGTGGTTGATGAGGTCTTCCACCACACGGCCAGCCTTGTAGTCCTGCCCATCTGTTTGGAACAGCGTGGGCCCAAACACGATGGCCAGGTTGTGTGTGTTCATCTGGTTGGTGTCTGAGAAGCACTGGACACTGGAGAAGGAGGAAGAGGCCAGGGGGTGCTCAGTCCTGCCCTGAGCTCCCTCATACCCCTTCCCGATGCCTGCTGGGTGCAAAGGTGCTCAGATGGTAAAGTTCTGGTCAGACGCCACTCATGAAGGGGTGACGGGCAAGCCCATCCCCAGCCCCCAAGCCCCAGCCCAATGTCAGAACAGGTCAGGACTCAGCTCCCACAGGGTACTGCCTGCTATCCCCCCACCCCCAGCCATGCCCTGCTGGGGCTCTCACCAGTACAGGTGGCTAATGAGTGCCTTCACTGTGGCCCGGTTGACAGGAGGCAAACGTGCCAGGAGCTCCCGGTACTTGGAAACCTTCTCCTCCTCATCCTCAATCTCTGGGTAGAGGCAGACAGGCCAGGTCAGACCCCAGCTCCTGAGGCTGCCTTTCTGGCTGAGTGACAGCATCCACTGCCAGGCAGGCTGGGCACTCGGCCAGGGTAAGGCACTTGGCATCTCCAGGCAGGGTGAAGGAGGAACATGACACAGAGGAGGGAAGGCAGTTGGAGCCTGCCTAGCCTGGTGGAAGTGGTGGTGGGTGGGACTCCTAGCACACCCAAGTAGATAAGGCAGGGGCAGCACAGGACCAACCTGAGGCTTCCAGCCAGGACAGGCGCTGGGCACGAGTGAAAAGCCCATCGGGCAGGTCACGCAGGAAACGCTTGAGGGCAGAAGAGACGTCATCCACGTGCTGCTCACCCTCCTTGAGACGCACAGAGCGTGCGTCCTGCCGCAGGCTCTCCAGCAGCCGCTGCGTCTTGGATGTCTGCCCACACTTGCGGTAGATGCCCTCAGAGGTCAGGCCTGGGGAGGGACAGGCCACTTTTCAGGAGGAGGTGGTGTGGGGTGGCGCCTGGTAGCAAGGCCTGGGCATGGTCTGGTCAAAGGTGCACCCTGATTCTAGTTCTGGGGGCAGAGCTTGTCAGCAAGTGCAAGACTGGGGCGGGGTCTGGCCATAGGCGTAGAGCCTAGTCCTGGGTCTGGGGTTGGGGCCTGGCTACAGGAAGGCAGGGCGTGGGTACAGGGCCTGGCTCCAGGGGCAGGGCTCACCACACTGTGTGATATAGTCCACACAACGGTACACGATCACAGGGATGTCCGAGTCCCCCAGCTGCTGCTCCGACAGGGTGTCACCCAAGCTTGCTGCTGCTTTCTGGATGGCTGCCAGCCAGCCCACGAAATCCAGCCGCCGCTCCCCCTGGATGTACAATGTCCTAGGCCAAGGACAGGCAGTCACTGCTAGACCCCTCCCACACACACACACACACACACACACCCTGGCTCACTCTCCCTGCATTTGCAGATGGCTTCAGGTTGCCCAGCACCCCGGGAGAGATCAGGGCTCACCTCCTTCGCTCCACCAGCACCAGCACCTGGTTCTCGTTGTCCCCCTGGACAGCTGTGGAAGGGCCAGTCAAGGTGAGACCTTGTTCATGAGCCCAACCTGCTTCCCTCTGCAGCCCTCTGGGCACACACACCCAGGGGGATCCACCCACTAACACAGAGGTTTACTGAGAGGCACCCAAGGGCAGGAGAGGCCCTGAGAGGGCAGGCATGCTGGGCAAGGGTTGCCCTTAGGGCATGAGGGCCTGGGCTGGGAAGCCACGCACAGAGCTCCTGCAGCTTCCGCAGTTGTAACGGCTCCTCACAGGGCCCCTCGGGGAAGACGACATGGAGCTCCGAACCGGCAAGGGAGAACCAGCCCTCTTGGGCCCGCTGCAGGCTCAGGCCAGCTTTGTAGGGTAGGCGTCCAAGCCGCTCAAAACCCCGGGCCAGCAGGTCCTCTGCCTGGGGAGGCACGACGGCCTGGAGGGAAGAGAAGGGTTTGTCAGTCAATAGCATTGCCTATGGCCCTCGGCCCATCTGGCCCTTGCTCTTGTTCAGGGCAGAATCTGGGTAGGGACTGCTCACTGGCACGGGATGGCCCTACCCCACCGCTACTCCTCCCAGGCCCGTTTCACCTGAGTCCCTAAGCAAGTGAACAATAACAACTGCCATAGGGGAACCCAGAGGACGTCTGGGTGCAGTCCCTACCCAGCAGCCTCCCTGCCTCGCCACTCTGATCTCTGCCTGCATGGCTCCAGTGGCCAGGAGCTCCCCGTTCCTGAAGGCAGCCGGATCCTTCCCGGGGTGGCTCTGGCTGCCATTCACCACTAACATGCAGGGAGCACCTGCGGGGTTGCAGGCCTGTAGCTCTTTTTTGCAACACAGTGAGGTTCTTGACACACAGGGCAGGCACCCACATCAGCCCCGCTAACCCAGGCCTACCTTGGCGATGCATGTGACCCACTCGTGAGCCAGCTCCGCACTCTCCAGCCCAAACAGGTAGAGCCGTTCACCCTCGGTGTACACCTCAAAGGTGTGTTCCAAGCTGTGAACAAACACACAGGTGGGGACTCAGGCCCCCTGCACACCCACCCTCGTGGATGCCCTTCCCTTGGCCCTGGAAGAGGGAAGGGAAAAGCCCTGGGCCCAGGCCTCAGGGGAGCCAGGGGCCCTGGTGTGGCCCATTTGCTGTGTGGCCCTGGAGAGGCCCTGCCCTTCTCTGGGCCTGTTTATTCTCTGTTCTCCCATTGATGGTGGTGGTGGTGCTTGGGGAAGACCTCACAGCCATTGTATCCAGCGGTGCTCACCCATGGGTGTCGGGAGGGAGCACTGCCAGGCACACAATCTCGCTGGCTCGGATCTCCCCGTTGGGGGTCACTGCCCGCTCTGTTTCATAGTAGCTCAGGACCCCATCGCTAAGGACACACCAGCGTCGGCTGAACTCTGGGGAGAAGTTGGGTAAGGGAGTTACCAGGGAGTTCCACCACACTGGCCCCTGCATCCCCCAAACACCTCCATTCCTGCTGCAGCCAGGCTCCCTCGTTCTCTTTCCGTCTCCCCTAAACCCCTCCTCCACTCTCCACCTCTTCACCAGTCCTCCAGCCAGGCCTCTTCTAAGACCTAAGCAGGATCCCACTAAACCAGATCTCATCCTTGCATGCTGCCCCCTTGTCTACAGGACACAGCCTGGGCTCCCTGCCCCCTCCTGGCCTGGACCCAAGGCCCTGCGCATCCTTCCCGATCTGCTCTTCACCTGCTTCTCTGACCACTCCCCCAACCCTGCTCCCTCAACCACTCTCTGGAATTCTGCTGTACCCACTGCCTGCTCCCATGAAAGAAATGGAAACCCCCATGAAAGAAATGGAAAGAGAAATCTGTACATGGGGGAAAAAAAAAAAACCATAAGCTCAAGGCCACGCGGGTGATACAGTCCATGGCCCCAGCGACATTCACAGTGGCGGTGAGGTTTCTGGCACCCGGGGTGAAGTGGATGACTCAGGCGATTACATAAATGCTACTATCAGCTCAAGGGAGGAGGCCACCAAGCAGGAGCAGCAGGGAATGGGCAGGAGCCACGACATCCCTGAGGATGTCGCGGGGTAGAGGGCCTTAACAACACCCCAAAGCACATGCCATCCCTCTCCTGCCCTTGGAGAGCAGCATCCTCATCAGTTGCCCCTTTCATCCTGCAGATCTGTGGCCAGACACCCTCTGGGTAAGCACCATCATAGGGCTGGGGCTCCTGTGGTGCCCCCAAGGACCAAAGTCACGCACAGGAAAGATCAGATTCACGCAGAGAGATGGGGCATGGGGTGCACTGGCCATGCTGTGTGACCATGCAGGGTCTAGGGGAAGCACTGAAAGCAGAGAGGGTGGGCATGGATGGTGCAGCTGCGGTGGGCCCTGTGGCTCACACTGAGTCAGGGAGTGAATGGAAGGCTGGGATCAGAAACAATCGGCACTTCTGGTTTATTCTCCATTTCTTGTTATCCATAGGCTGTGAGAACAGATGCCTAGCTCAGAGCCCAGCCCTGACCAGGGCTTAGCACGGCCCTCTGGAGCGCAAAGGGGACTCTGCTAGTGGCCTACCCTCTCCCCTCTAGCCTATGGAGGAATCACTGTTGGCAGACCAGAAATCCTGTGTACAAAGCCTTCCAGGGCAACCGGGGTTGGGGAGCACTGAGGGTCCTACCAGCCCTGCCTGGATGGGGTCTGCTGTGACACCAACCTTCCCGGGCACGGCGGTCCTGTAGCAGCTTGGCAGCCGAGGCAGTCTTATAGAGGAAGCCGCTGTGGCTCACAGTAGGCAGCACAACCGAGTAGTGCTTCTCCAGGGGCTGCATCGAATCCGGCCGAGGCACCCCTGAGAGCACGGGAGGGAGGGCAGGTCACACTGGCTGTCTGCAAGCATGCCACCCTCCCACCATCCTCTCAGCTGGCACCCTTGGCTCCTAGTCCTCCCGCTGACCCCCAGGCCTCAAAAGTTCTCCACTCCCCACCTGTGGAAACGTCACTCAACAGCCTTTTGGCCAGCTTCAGCATGTCGCCTCCTAGAAATCCCTGACTCCTGGCCCACCCCACGTCACTCTCCCTGGTGGAGGCGCCGTGCCAGGCATGGCAGGAAAAGAAAGGCCTTGGGCCCACTCCAGCCCTGGAGAGAAGTCGTGTCCCAGACAGCATGAAACCTAAGGAAGTAGCCTGGCTGTAGCCCTGCTTCCAGTGGTCAATATCAGGTGGGATTGGGGGTGTCCTGGTTCCCTGACCCCTAGCCAGTTGGGTGGTCTCCTGTGCCTCCCTGGACACCTGGGCCCTCTCTAGCCCAGGACACCCCACCCACCTGTGGCCCTGAACCCAGAGCCCCAGCCACTGAGCTCCACCCTTGGTCCCAGGATGCGGCCCCAGAGGCCTGGCCGGGGCCGACTAGCATCACTGCCTCCACCAGGACTGCAAAGGAGCAGAGACAGTGCAGCGGGCCCCAGGCGCCCAGAGTGGCTCAGAAATACTCTGCACACACTCAAAGGCCCACAGTCACCTCCTCCCAGATGCATGGACACCCACACACAGGGGTGTCCAGGCATCTGCCTGCAGCCACACGCACTGAAATGATCACGCAGAGACACGCATGTGAAGCACAAATGCACTGCCCTGACAGACTGGCTCCAACAAAGCTCTAAGAAAAGCCCAGCCCCAAGCAGACCCTCTCATCCCCCAAGAGGAGAGTGTCCCCACAACACTCACCCGTGGTCTGATTGTTGCGGAGGAATTCCATCTGCAGCATCTGCCCTGCCTGTTCAGCGAGAGCGAGGGGCGTCGGGGCCTCAGGGTCTCCCGAGAAGCAGTTGACCTCGGCCCCACAGCCCAGGAGGGCCTGGGTCTCGGCCAGGTCTGTGGTGGTGACTGCAGCACACAGGGCCTGAGAAGAGTGAAGGGGGCAAGGGGGTCAGGCCAGGCATAGTGGGGATCGGTGTGAAAAAGGGGGCTGGGGAGCGGGTAGGACAGGACAGAGGAAAAGAACAAGGGGTCACCAGGGTCAGGGGTGGCCCACCCTCAGCTGAAGGGGGGGAAGGGGAGAAAGAAGAGGAGGAAAAGCAAGGTGGGGGAGGGAAGAGGGCTGCCCAGCTAAGGCTGGGGTCCCAGCTGCCCAGGCCTCACCCCAGCAACTGGCCCAGGACCTGGCTGTCCAGTCAGCCAGCTCTCAAGCTGTCTGCCTGGTAGAGTGGCGGAGGGGCCGCTTCGTAGTTAATTCCTCCCACATTTGAATTCCTCACCGCCTGCCCAGCCCTCCCAACCAATGGGAGTTGCCGCCCTCCTGGCTCACAGGCCAGACTGGGCTGGGCTGGGGGCAAGATGCCTGGGTCCCCAGGAGGTGGAGGCTCCCCTAGGGCTCCCTGCCTGATGAATCTGCCCAGGGCGGAACTGTCTAGAGGAGGGGCTGAAGGTCCACCAGTGGCATCTCCCCTGGCCTCCTCCAAGCTGGCTGTTTCCCCTCCAGCTGGAGCCAGATCAGGGCCCATGGCTTGGCTCCCGGCCGGCTGAGGGGCTGAGGCCCGCCAGAGGCCTCCTCTAGAATGGGGTGTGGATGGATGGGGGTGGGTCAGAGCAGTCCAGCTGTTTTTCATGAGCCTGACAGGAAATAGCATCCCCATCAAGTTCACTCCTTTTGGCAGGCAGGACTCTGCCGCCGGAACAGGGCAGGGTACGGAAGACAGAGGAATCAGGGGAGTGGCAGACAGAGGCAGGGATGTGGCCAGGGCCCAAGGGTCAAGCATGGCTCCTCCCTGCATTGTTCTAACTTTTCTCTGTTTTTCTGCCTCAGTTTCCCTATGTGCCAACCCATCACTGTGAGCTGAGAGAAGACAGTGCAGCAGCCAAGTGAGGCAGGGGCACGTTTTCTAGGGACCCTCCCACATGTACAGGACCCTGACCTTGTCCAACTCCTCCTGGTTACCAAAGAGCGGGTGGTAGCGGCGGTACTTGCCCTCCCGGTACTTGGCCTCCAGGTGGCACCGTCGGGCACCAGGGCTGCTGTTGGGCTGCAGGGCCTCGCTGGGGGGCACATTGGCTGCCCAGAAGCGGTTCCCGGCACCATTGCCCAGCTGTAAGAAGAGCTGCAGGTATAGGTCAGAGGTCAGGGGGCCCCTAGGGGCCAGGGCTGCTGGGCTACTGCTCACATCCCCAACCTGGAAGGCAAGGAGTAAGCAACCTGGACAATGGGTGGCTCAGATGTTATGCTTCAGCTGTGGGCACAGTGACAGGAGTGAGACAGCCTGACAGCCAGACGCCCTGGGCTCAGCATCTGGAACTCTGTTCCTGAGGCCAGCACAGCCAGGGGCTGGGTACCCAGCCCACTAGTCAGTGGGCTCCGGATACAGTTCCTGCTTCCAATATCCAGGGAGGAGCGATGAGCGCCTCACAGGGACCCAGTACCCAGGCGACTGGCTCGCGTCTCCTTCCTTTTCCCTTTCCCTGGCTCCTTCCTTCCTGCCTCTTCCCACCCTCTGCCCTGCCCTGCCTCTTGAGGTCTTGTGGGGGGGTGTTAGGGTCATAGCAGTGGACGTGGCAGGTCCCATTCCTGTCACCCTGACATGCTCTGTGACTCTGGGCCAGTGGTTTTCTTCCCCTGATCGTAGAGTGCCTGACTTACAATTGAGGATTCAGATTTACCACAAAGTAACAAATGCCAAGATCTCAGCGCTTGGGGACCAGACACACAGTAGGCAGACAAGGGACTGGGGATGATGCCAAACCATTCTGCACCTACGTCTTGGCTGGGTCCCTAGGTCCAGCCCCCCGCTGCAGCCTCTCCTCTGTGACCAACACCATGAGCACCTGGGCTTCTAGGGGACACCCCAAAGGGTCCCGAAGGGGCAGGGTCATTTTGGGCAAGTCAGAGTCCTGCCTAGGGCCTGAGATTCCCCAGCTGCATGGTGGCTGAGGACTGAGCCAGACCAGGGGCGTCTCCTCTCTCTGCTGGGCCTGCACTCCTTCCTCTAGGCTTTACAAAACACAATTCATCTGGGCTCCCTCTTATCACAATCCTCTGAAGCTGTTAAGAACACACGCATCCCCCTGGCCAGTGTCCCAACTTTGCCAAAACCCCACCCACTACACAGAAATGAGGGTCTCCTCCCAAGAGCATGCCAAGGTGCTGTAGGTGGCGAGATGGGGAGACTTGGGCACTGGGAGAGGCGGCGGCAAATGCAGAATGGGGATGAGGGGGCACTCGCACCTCGATGAGCGACTCTGTCCACACCTTCCTGTCCATCTTCAGGCTTCTCACCTTGGACACGCCAGCGCCCAGGCCACGGTGCTCCCCTACAAACAGACGGCCAGTCACCAGCAGCCCTAGGGCTAGGCCTGTGACCACCCCCTGCATGCAGGGCTCTGGAACCCAGCCAGGCTCCCCTGCTCCCACAGGACTGAGTCCCATGACCCTTGGCCCACCGTGCTGCAAGCAGCACACGGGCAGGAACCTGGACCCTGGACCAAGCCTGGCATAGTAAGTGCCTGCTGAATCACCAAGTGATGAAAGGAGAAGGGCTGAGGCTGGAAGGAATGAAGCCTCCCTCCACCACAAGCAGGGCCACGGGGGTGGAAGCTAGATCCTGGCACCTCCCTATGTGGCTTCTTATGACTCTGGACCATGGCTCAGGGGTCCCTGCCTCCCACCCGCTCCAGACAGAACCCTGGGACCCCTCTGGGCCTGGCATAGTCACCCCCAACCCTTCTAAGGGGTCAGGGAGCCTGGCCTAGCAGGCCTGGGATGACATCTAGTTTATTTACATGCCAGTTGACACTGTGGGTCTCACAGTGTGGGTCATAGTGCTGTGCAACAGCAGCCCCACCTCCTCAGCTCTGCACCTGCCCATAGGCCCAACACGCGTGTGTGCGTACACACACACACACACACACACACACACACCTGCACAGCGTTTGCAGATGGTCACACAGAGGTTGATGGAGGCCCAATCAGGCTGCGCGGCTCCACAGTCGGCACAGAACCTGTTGGGGGCTGCAGCCCAGACGCGCTCGGCCACCTCCGAGGTCGATAGGGCCTCGGCAATGGCTCCCTGCATGGCCTCCAGCCACTGTTCCTTCTCTGGCTCCGAGTCAGCTGAGAAGCTGGGGACACAGGAGAGGAGGAACTGGTGGAGTGCTGAGGCAAGGTGCTAGGAGCCCTCTGTCATAAGAGCAAAGGCATCCTGCATGGGCTTGGTGAGGTAGGCAGGTTTGGGCAGGGAAAAGAATACTAATGAACTTGAGGGACCCAGGAGGCCAGGGGGGAACACAGGACTTGTGTCCTGGCCAGGGAATTAGGAAGTATAGGATGCCTGAGCAAAGACTTGACAGAGGAGGAAGGTGACAATGCAGGAGGGTGTTCTAGACCTGGGGTGGGGATGGGAGGCAGCAAGTACAGGGTAGGGTGCACACAGGGCACTTCAGGGCCTGCAGGAAGGATTTAAGACTGGGATTTAAGGACAGGCACAAGAGAGAGGGTGCATGTGTGAAGGACAAGGCAGAGAGATGTCTTCCGAATCCCCTTCCAGGGTGTAGTGCCCCCAACAGCCCAGCTGGGACTGCAGTGCCAGCTGGAGTCCCAGCTCCTCCTCTATCATCCAGCTTCCTGCTCACATACATCCTGGGAGGCAGCAGCTGACAGCCCAAGGTCATGGGTCCCTGTCTGTCATTCACACACGGCAGACCTGGAGGGAGTTCCTGGCTCCTGGCTTTAGGCCCCAAAACCGAACGCCCTGCCAACAGCTCCTGGCACCTGTGACCCTGCTGCAGTGGTCCCTGCTGTCTGGGGCAGGAGCCCTGATTGAGTAAGAAATGGATGACTACCCTTAAAACTAAGACCTCGCCAGCCCCCTCCTTGCTGCCACAACCTCCACACCAAGAGTGTTTGCTCAAGGGCACACCAGCCACCACTCATGGCTGAGGAAGGCGACACTGGTGGAAGGAAAACGGATGCTGGTTTACAAGAGATACTGGACTAGTAACTAACAGTGGTTAAGCCACTGTATGCGGTACTGACAACCCACATGGGTGCTGGTTCAAGTCCCAGCTGCTCCACTTTCCCATCTTCCCATCCAGCTTTCTGCTGATGTGCTTGGGAAAGCAGCAGAGGAGGATGGTCCAAGTGTGTGGGACCCTGAAGCCATGTAGGAGACCTGGAGAAGCTCCTGGCTCCAGCCTGGTCCAGCCCTAGGCACATGGAAAGCGAATCAGTGGGGTAGAAGATCTGTCTCTCCCTGTCTCTCAGTAACTACCTTTCAAATAAATAAATAAATCTTTTTTTAAAAAAAAAAGGCACTGGACTGCCTTTACCCAGTGTGTCTTGGGGCATGGGATGCGCCAGGTGCCAGAGCCACCCACCCCACACCCTTGCCCCAGGTCTGCAGGCTTCCAGAGCAGCCTCCAGGATGGCAGGTAGACCCCTTTGTGCTAAATACCCATCAGGCTCCCAGCAGAGCAGTGGGCAGCCCCAGGAAGCTGGAGGTGAGGGGAGGCCTCTGGAGAACCGACAAAGTAGGATCCCCTCCATACCAGCAGAGAGGTCATCAAGAAGTGAGTGACAGTCAAGTCCCCCAGGTACAGAACTGCAGGCCTAGACCCATCAGACAGAACTCCAGACATGAACGGATAAAGCTGTGGCTTGCAGAAAACAACCCTTGGGCCTCAGTCCCGTGAGAAGTAACGAGGAGGCTCAGACAGGCAGCCATGGAGGGGCAGGCAGAGGTGGTAAGGAGGAGAGGTGGGGGTGTCCACAGGTAGGGAGAGGCCCTGGGGCGGCCAGGAACCAGGAAGCTGACACACAGTCTCAAGGAGTCAGCTGTGGATGGATGGCCACGGGCAGTGGCCATAGGCCAGCTGAGCTCCCCTGGCAGTTTGACAACAGCCCCCTCAGGGCCCTGGGGAAACTGCAACAGAGACACCCAGGCATCTTCCAGGTTACCCAGTGGACAGGGATGCATCCAAGGATCCAGGAGGAGGCAAAGGACAAACAGACATGGAGGGACAAGCCCAGGCCCAGGCGGCAGCAACAAAGGATGCCAGGGGTGCTGCCCGGGAAGCTGGCAGTGGGAACACAAAGGCAGTTCTGGGTACTTTGCGCATGGTGCAGTGGGGGCAGCCAGGCAAGGGTGGCTGGGATGGAGGATGAATGGTGTGTGAGTGCAGGCAGGCAGGGGATGGAGGGCATCCAGGCCGAAAGCAGCAGCAGACGTGAGATGTGGGGTGGGGGATGAGGGTGGGGGACTCACCTGAAGATGTGGTAGGGCGTGGTGAGGTCAAAGCTGCGCCGGTCGGCTTCCTTCACATTGCCCACGCTCATGTCAATGAACGTGATGCCAATGCCCAGGTGGTACTCCTGGTGGGCAGGTGGGGAGGGGAAGAGGGCAAGGCCTCAGGTCAGAGCGGGGAAGGCAGGGTGTGGGATCTCAGGGACCAGAATGCGGAGAAAGAAGAGGGAAGACTGGGAATCCAGGCATCATCAGTGGCTGGGCTCAGGGCCATGAGCAACAGGGTAGAGGAAGGAGCCATGGTGACACCCAGTGGGCTGGATTAGGGGGCCAGAACTGGGGGCAGGAGGGGCTACAGAAAGGGCAGGGCTCAGGTCCCTGGTGGACCCAGAGCAAGCTGAGATCAGGCAGGCCTGGGACAGGCTTGGGGCTGGGGTTGGTGGTGCAAAGGGGCAGGGAGAAGCTACGGGGCTGGCCAACCCCTCCTCACCTCTAGGTTCTTGTAGAGCTGCACTTTGTCCCCAACCACGACCACATATAGCTTGTTCTTGAAGCCCCGCAGCTCCAGGCTGCCGGCATGGTCGGGCTGTTCCAAGCCTCGAACCCCTGATGGGTAAGTACCCGACAGCCGAGCCTGGGTTCGATGCTCGGCCACTGCCTGCTGCAGAGCCTGCAGCCACTCCTTGCACTCCGCTGCAGGCAGGGTAGAGTTGTGAGCCTCAGGCTGGACTGTGCCAAGAACCCCGCCCAAACTGCTCCCCTCCCCACATCACCTTGCCAGACCTAGGCAATCTCTGGCTCCAACCCCAGCTTGCACATCACTCCCTGCCTCACAGCACATCTCCCCTCCCAGCTCGCACCATCACTCTCAGCCCGGAAGGTAAAGGTTCGGTTGTGAGTGATCACTTCAAACTTCTGGTCGCTGATGGCAGCTACACGGGAGATGCAGGCCACTGAGACGAAGCGCTTGGAGTAAGCATCCTGGGGCAGAGCCAAGAACCAAGCTTCAAGGCATGCAGATGAGGTGCCCTCCCAGTCCCCAGGACTCATTCGCAGCCCACCCTCACCAGTATAGAGGTTGTAGCTGCATCTCCCTGCACTGGCTCTGGCCGGTTCTGGGAGTCAGACCCAAGGGACTCTGCCTGGAACTCACCTTGTTACTGTCAAAGTAGCGCAGGTAATCAGCATCCAGTCTCACCCACCGCTTCTGATAAATGTAAGACCTGGCAGGGCACAAGGTGCAGGGGGCACCAAGCAGGGGATGGGGATGAGGGCAGTGGCCAAGAGATGGCCCCTGGACCCCTGCAGCCTCAACAGAGGGTTAGGGTAAGTGGGCTAAGGGCAGGAAAGATCCCAAACAGCTGCTTTGCCATAGCAAGAATCACTTAAGTCAAACTCAAATTGGGACTTCCAAAGTTGCTAAAACCCAGGTCTGGCAGGGAGCACTACACATATTGTCCCAGGACCCTCCCGTGATCCATGGAGTTCCAGTGGCCCAAGGGGCCTTACTCACCCCTGTGGTGGGTTCTTGTCCAGCCAGCCAGCTTTGATGAGTCGTGTGACAGGGGTGGAGCCCCCGGCTAGCCCGTCCATGGCAGGTGTTGGGAGCTCGAGGAGGAAGCCAGGCAGTGATGAGCTCAGGCTGCTGGCACGCCATCCGCCACTAGGGAACACGGCCGGGGAGGGGCAGGCTGGGGGCAGGTAGGAGCCGTGGAGACCGAGGAGGGAGAGGGCAGGATGGGATGGGGCTTGGGGCAGGAAGAGGGCAGGGCGGGAAGAAGAGCACTCACTTGGGGACGCCTTCGTAGGCGTGGTCCTCCTCCTCCTCCCCTGGCTCTTCCCCGGACAGCTCCTCCCCCTCGCTCAGCAGACTGGCCACGCGCACGGCCCTCGGGACTCGGATTGCTGGGGGCTCCTCCTGCACCCCCAGACCCACTTGGCATCATGACCCACGTCACACCCACCCAGGGGCTACCTGCTCCATCCTGACTCATACAACTTGACACTTTCACTTTTGTTGCTTCACAGCCCCCTGTGCTTGCAGGCCAAGCCCACCCAGGACCCAAAGTCTCAGGGAAAACAGAATCAGGAGCATGTGATGGGGAGCAGTGGATGAAGGTAGGAAGCTGAGGGGCTGCACACATAGGGCAGAAACTCAGAGAGCAAGAGACAAGAGGCCTCTGGACAGCAAGAGGCATCTGGATGTGGGGAGGAAGAGGAGGTCACCCACACCACCCCGAGGCAGCCCAAGATAGGAGCAAAACTTCAGACCCTGGTACCCCTGCTTCAGGCTGCACTTGACCCCTGTATGCCAACAAGTACAGTGGAAGATGGGAGCTCCCCAGGGAAATGGCTGCGCAGGGGGTGCAGGACAAGCAGCCAACTGACCCTAACCACCGCCCTGGCCCACCTTCTTGGTCATCACGCTGGCTGGGGCCCCAGGCCCCTCCTCCAGGACCTCATCGTAGTCAGAGTCATCTGGGAAGATAAGAGAAAGAGAGAGGACTTAGAGGCAAGGACCCTGGGCTTACTGGGTCTACTCCCCCAGAGCCACCCCCAAGCCAAGCCAAGCCGAGAAAGACTCCCACCCCCACCCCAGCCTGGCCGTTAAAACCCAGCACAGGAGACAGGAAATGCTATTTATACCAAAGGACAGGCCGGGTCACCACAGGGAGCCCTGACCAGGCAGCAAGCTTGGGGGTCGGAGGCGGGGACAGTCCCAAAAAAGGACAACCAATTACAGAGAGAAGGAAACAATTCAAGGACAAGGAAGCACTCACAGCCATGGGACTTAAAATGTGGCCAACTCCCAATAGGCAGTGGGCAACATGCGGTTTCCAGCTCAAGAAAGAAGAGCATGATGCTTGAGGAGGCCATAGCCCCGCCTCCACCCAGGGTCATATACCAGTCACAGACAGGGCAACACAAGATGGCCACTCCAGCCCCCTGACCCCACTCACCAAACTCTGGGGGCAGGCGGGCTGGCTTCGGGGGTTTCTCTGGAGGGCGAGGAGGAGGTGGAGATGAGGGCTTGGAAGGCACACAGGAGAGGATGGGTGGGTGTTCCACAGGCTCTGGCTGGGGAGCAGGTGACAGTGGTGGCGGAAATGACCCCTCCTCCTTGGAGGGCAGGCTGGGAACAGAACCAGAGTTGGGCATCATTGCATGAAGGGGCTGGAACTCAAACCCATGGGGTTCCTGTCTCAACTGGGCCCCTGCAAAAGTCACCTATTACACTGCCTGTACAAACGGAGACCCCTTTCTCTCCCCAACTCTCCCAGTCCCCTAGAAGGGAGACATTCTCTTTTGGCCTGAATGAGCTGGTCACCTGTCCCGAAGGGTCCAGCTTTGAGCCACCCATGCCCACTGGCTCTCCACTCTGGAGGAGGGATAAAGACGCCACAGGGAGTGGTCAGAGAAGGCTTCCTGGAAGTGAAGCCTGACTGGCACTTTTGTGATTAAGAGGAATTTCTCAGCAAAGGAAAGCAACTTGATGGGAACGGACATCATGAGTGAAGGTGCAGACCAGCGCCTCCGAAACCAACTCCCAGTCCTGAACTGGGAGCCTCTCTCCTCTTTCCTTCCCAGACTTAGATATTCACTGCCTCCCAGGTGTTCCAAGACCCATCCCATCAGCCCAAGGGCTTCAGCATCCAAGACACAGGTGTGGACTCTGCCAGGGCGGAGCAAATGCAAGGGTGAATGATGACCATGATGCCCTGGGTAGAAACCAGCGGGTCAGGTGCCATGTCCATGGAAACTTGGAAAAGCCCATCACCCACTGCTCTCACAGCCCAAAAAGAAGGGCCTGTGGAGGCTGAGCCTGTGATTAGCTGAGAGCAGAGCCCCACACTCAGGGGCTGGGTTGAGGAGTGGGCTGCAACCAAAGTCGGGACTGAAGAGTAGTGTCAACACCTCCTCCTCCGCACCACCTCTGAGCCACATCCTTAGGGTCCAGGCAGCTAGGCTGCACCCCTGGTACCCAGTTCACCCCTCACTGTTCCTGAGGCTTGCCTGCACACCCTCACCATGGCTCTCATCTCTTCAGCACCAGGCAAGGGCACCAAGTAATTACATGGAGTGCTGCATTCCCATTAAGAATCAGGAGTGAGGCTGGCAAAGCTACCGCCTGCAATGCCAGCACTCTGTATGGGCACTGGTTTGTGCCCCCACCCCCATTTCACTTCTGCTCTAGGTTCCTGCTAATGGCCTGGCAAAGCAGTGGAAGATGGCCCAAGTCCTTGGGACCCTGCACCCACATGAGAGACCCAGAAGTTTCTGGCTTAGCCCAGCTGTAGTCATTCCAGACATTTGGGAGGTGAATCAAAGTGGATGGGAGATTTCCCTCTCTTTATCTGTCTCCTCTACCCTCTCTGTAACTCTGCCTTTCAAATAAATAAATATTTTTTAAAAAGAATCCAGAGTGTCAGGCTGGCGAAGCGGCCTAGCGGCTAAAGTCCTCGCCTTGCATGTGCCAGGATCTCATATGGGCACCGGTTCTAATCCCTGCAGCCCCACTTCCCATGCAGCTCCCTGCTTGTGGCCTGGGAAAGCAGTGGAGGACAGCCCAAAGCCTTGGGACCCTGCACCTGTGTGGGAGACCTGGAGGAAGCTCCTGGCTCAGGCTTCAGATCAGTTCAGCTCTGGCCATTTTGGCCACTCGGGGAGTGAATCAATGGATGGAAGATCTTCCTCTTTGTCTCTCTTCCTCTCTCTATATCTGACTTTCCAATCCAGAGTGTCTACCAACACACGGTCCCAGCTCTCTTCCAGGCACCGCACATGCGTCCATTCACTCGATCACCACAAGGGTTAAGGTTAAGGCTCATCCCATGCAGCAGAAGAGGAAACTGAGTCCCACAACTGGGATTCAAACCCAGGTTGCCAGCACCATGGCCCAGCCAATGAGGCCAGCCAAGACCTGAGGTTCCTGCCCACAGGCCACTGGACTCAGGGTCTGGCCAACTCATCCGTGAAGGGCAAGGTCAAAGCCTGAAGTCCTGCCGCTGGCCTCATGGTAAGAAAGGAGAGGCAGGCAGGCACAAAGGCTCCCCTGCCAACACAGCTTGCACAGGGCTGGGCTGAGGCCTCCAGGCCACCAGGAAACCTCCAGACCTCCCTCTTGAGCCACCTCCTCCAGGAGGCCTCCTAGCTGACCCCAGCCTGCCTAGTGCCAGGGATCAGGGCCCTGCTGAGTCAGGGCTGGGCGCAGGAAAGGAGAAGTGGTGGCAGAGAACATGACATGTGGGAAAAACCCCAGGGGAAAGGGCAGTGTGCTGCTGCCGGGAAAGGAGCCCCTGCGGAGCCAGACCCCAACTGGGATGCTACTCATTAGATGAGCAGAGCCACACGTTCCCGGGCATGCCCCCCACCTAGCCAGACCCTACCTCCAAGCACGTGCTCACACTATTTTATCTGCACCTCCCCTTCAGCCCACTAGCCCCTTGAGATGCAGCCCCTGGTGCCCAGTCCTCCAGGAGGGTCTTCGAGATGGCTGCCATCTTCAACCCTTTCCCCTCTAAACCTTGGATATGTGAACCCATCTTCTCTCCCCCAGTGTATCCATAGCAAGCCTGGGCACTCTGGGCAGGACCAGCTTGCCCAGGATGGCCTGCTGAAGCCATCAGCTTGGGCCATCTGACTTAGTGGATCAGGGGAGAACACACAGCAGCTCTCCCACATGCTGAGGGCCAGCAGGTCTCCACAGCCACCAGGAGACGCACAGGCCCCTGACCATGTAGCCCTCTTTCCTTGGCACCTCCAGGCCTCCCCATGATCCCACCAAGGACAGCCACTTCCCTGGGTCCTCAGGACAGCGTCCTGCAGCTGACGGCCACCCAGGCCCTGCAGCTTGGTCCAGACACAGGCACCCTAGGGCACCAACCTCCACTGACTCTCCCATTGTATCTTTCTGTCTACACCAGTTTCTGCATAGGAGCTAGATTTTACTCCAGGGACAAGCAGAGCCACAGAGCGGGGCAAAAGGACTTCCCAGCACATACACCCCCACTGTCTGGAGTGGGCTACAGTGTGCACCCACACACACTCCCAAGCCTCTGCCTGCGAGTTCCCTCCACCTGTCTCCCTAGCACCCTCTCCTTCTGTTAAAGACCCCAATCCTGTACCACCCCCCCTAGCTGGAGGAGGACTCCCCTCAAGCCTCAGGCTGGCCTTAGGCCTCCTTGGGGTTCCCCCAGCCTCAACACTTCCGACTGTTCAGTACATCTGCATCTGTCCATGCTGGGGTTGCTGAAATGACCTCAAAGACTTCTAGGACACAGCCCAGGCCAGTTCCAGGTCCTGAACTCACAGGGGAGGGTGGCCAGGCAAGGCTGGCCCAGCCACCTGCCCTTCCCACACAGCCAAACTTTCCTAGCTGTCCACTTCCTCATTCCCACCCAGGACCTCCATAGAGACCTAGGCCTGGGGACTATGCCTCCTGGTCCTGCTTGGCCCCCTCTGCCTTGTTGCCCCCCTCAGGAGGTCCCCAGGCCAGGGCTCCACTCAATTCTGCACAGCCATCCCACCCCCTCCACACATATATACACAAAGCCCTCTCCTGGGTACTGGGATATACTGTGCTGTGGACCATCAGCAGCGGCCAACACAAAAGGGGCTCTGGCAAGTGTGAATGGTTGAATAACCACCCCTCTCCTCATGCTGACCCCTGCAGGAGGTCAGCAGTTTCCTGCCTGCACAGCAGCATCCCAGCCACCTGCAGTCTACCTGCATAACCAAAGCTCCACCCAGCACCTAGCTGTTGCCCCAGGGCCAACAGCTTCCAGTTTCTAAGCAACCACTGTGTGCCTGGCACTCAGTAGACAGCTTGTTTTTGTTTTAATTAATGACCTTCCTCCTCCAGGAAGTCCACCCCCCACCACCAGCCTGTCCTCTCACCTAGCACAGCCTGCTGGGCTCTCCTAGGCATTTCCACCACTGGGCCTCCCTATAGGGCTAGCCTGGCTGCCACCAGGCAGGGGATAGTGGAGACCCCATGCAACCCATGGCAACATTCTCCAAGTTCCCTAGCTCTGGCTTTGTGTTAGTCCTGAAGGCAACAGGGCAGGAGGAAGTTGAGCCCTCAGGTTGCTCACCCTTCCGAGTGCCCAGCTGAGGGCTGTACTGCAGCAAGAACAGGTACAGGTGTCCACTGGTCCCTATGGATCGAGAAGCCAGGTAGGGGCGCAGACCCTAGTTACAGGCCTGTCTACGGTCCCCGGGGTCAAGCACAAGATTGCTGAGTTTCTTGGGAACTGGTACCCTCACCCCTCCCCAAGGTGCCCACCGAGCCATCAGCAGAGCCACCAGCCCTGAGGGGGAGGGGGAGCCACCACTCAGACTAAATGTCAGCCCCCTGCAGGTCTTCCCACCACCCTGGACTGGGGGGAGGGGGTCATTCAGAAGCACCGTACCCTTGAACTTGACAGTGAGATAAAGCAATCTAAGCCTCACCAAGGGAATCCCCGAAGGGTGCGGGGAGCAGACAGAGGATGGAGGTCAGCACCAGGTTCTGGAAGGGCAGGGGCCACAGAAGGGAGCAGCCCATGGGGCTCCTGGCAGGCCCCCAGAAGACGGGCTGATGGCAAGCCCTGGGGAGCCAGAGTAAGCGAGGGAAGAACGGGCAGGGAATGAAGTGGGGAGACAGAACAAAGTGGGAGAGACAGGAAATCCCACAGGCACACAGAAGGAAGAGGGGAGCACAGCAGAAAAGCCAGCCCAGCGGTGCCGACAGACAGATGGGTACACCAGCAGGGCCTCCTGCGCCCCCACACACCTTCCCCTAGTCCTGAGGCAGCCTCCTCCCTTCCTCCCTCTCTCCTTCCCTTCCTCCCTCCCTCTCACCCACCTGGGCCGCCCCTCGCTCATGCTCACCCTCACCTGCCCGTTGGGTCCTGGGCTCACAGGCTCCCGAGGCACCGAGGCACCGGCCAGGCAGGCTCAGTGTGTGCAGACGCGGCCGAGCCTGCCCATGCACAGCCAAGGCAAGCAGCCCCAGCCCTGGGGCCCAGGTGTGTGAAAGGCCCAGGTGAAGCTCTGCGCACGGTGCCTTGTGTCTCCAAGTGCACGCGCGTGTGCGTGTATACGCGCGTGTGTGTATGTGTGAGAAGGCAGGAGGCCCTGTCCTTGAGTATGAGAGCGAGTGTGTGTTTGTTTCTGTCGGATCCAGTGCTGGTCTCCCTGGCTTCCTGCTCCCGCCTTCCCCCGCCCACCCCCTCCGCAGCCCCGGCCAATATACACTTCCTGAAAACAGCCTCCTAGGCCAGCGGCCACCCACAATTCCCTGGGGCACCCCACCCGGGGCCGCACCCCCAGCCAGACTGGCCCGGGACAACAAGCCCAGTGGTGCACGCACGATGGGTTCCTGGGGCTCCGGCCCGGTGCAGTGAGGTGGACATCCACGAAGCCCTGGCCATGGCCTCACTCCTTCCCCACCCCCACCACAAGGAGGCCCTGAAAGGCTCAGAGTGGCTGATGGGAGGGAACAAGTCCTGCCCCAGCAACAAGTGATCATCCTGAAGAACGACCTGCGATTGGTTGGGCTGCTGCTAGGCAGTTGGGGGAATCTGGCCAGCACAGCAGGTACCTCCTCTTTCCCAAAGATGCCTTCCTTTTCCAAAGGTTCTGAGGCCCAGGGCAAGCTGAAGGGGGCGCTGTCGTGGGGCCCTAGGACATTCGGTGCTGCAGTCAAGATCTAACTGAGCAAGCATGTCTCTCCCATCACAGTGCTGGGGGTCTGCCTCCGCTCCAATGCCTGCTGTCCTGGGAAGCAGCAAGCAACAGTTCAAGTAGGTGGTAGTCCTTGTAGCCCCTATGAGATGCCAAGATTGAGTTTCTAGCTCCTGGCCTTGGCCTGGTTCAGCCCTGGTTGCTGGGAGGATCTGGAGAAATGAAAGGGAAAATGGGAGCTCTCTGTCTCTATTTGCTTTCCAAACAAATAAAAGAAGGCCTGGGGAAATGGGCTAGAGGGGCCTTCCTGGCCAGAGTATGCTCAGTACACTCCCTCAGTGTTAAAAATAAAGTAACAAAAAAAGAAAGCACCTCTCAAGCCCAGCACAGTGGCCTAGTAGCTAAATCCTCACCTTGCATGTGCCAGGAGCCTATACAGACACTGGTTTCTGTCCTGACTGCTCCACTTCCCTTCCGACTCCCTGCTGGTAGCTTGGGGAAAGCAGTGCAGGATGGTCCAAGGCCTTGGGATTCTGCAACCGCGTTGGAGACCCGGAAGAGGCTCCTGGCTCCTGGCTCCTGGTCTCGGATTGCCTCAGCTCCGGCAATTGCAGCCATTTGGGGGGGGGGGTGTACCAGCAGACGGATCTTTCTTTCTGTCTCTCTCCTTCCCTCTGTAAATCTGCCTTTCCAATAAAAATAATTAAATCTTAAATAAAAGCGATCAAGCACCTCTTCTCCCTTGGGGGAAGTGAGAGTTAACCCGGTAGGCTGAGCCCAGGAAGAGTCTGTACCAGCAGCGCTCTCTGCAGTGCTGTGGGGCTGGGCAGCTTCAGACAGGTTTGGGAGTGTCTCTAGACCTCTGGGCAACTTCTCAATTGCAGGCTTAAAAAAAATGGGAAAGTGTGGGGCCGGTGTGGTGGTAGAACCACAGCAAGTAGCACCCACATCCCGTACAGGCATTGGTTCCTGTCCCGGCTGTTCCACTTCCGATCTAGCTCCCTGCTAGTGCACCTAGGAAAGCAGAGGAGCATGGACCCCGTGCTTGGGTCCCTCACCTCACATAGGAGACCCAGAAAAAGCTCCTGGCTCCTGGCTTGGGCATGACACAGCCCTAGCCATTATAGCCATGTGGCAAGTGAAACAATGAAAAACCTCTGCCCCAGCCGTAACTCTTAACTTTCAAAATAAATAAATCTTGAAAAAAAAAAAGGAAGGCCCCAGCACAATGGCTCAATTGGTTAATCCTCCCCCTTTAAGCACCAGGATCCCATATGGGCACAAATTTGTGTCCCGGTGGCTCCACTTCCCTTCCAGTTCCCTGCTTGTGGCCTGAGAAAGCAGTCGAGGCTGGTCCAAAGCTTTGGGATCCTGCACTTACATAGGAAACTCGGAAGAAACTCCCGACTCCTGGCTTCAATTAGCTCAGCTCCAGCCGCTGCAGCCACTTGGGGAGTGAAGATCTTTCTCTCTGTCTCTCCTTTTCTCTGTAAGTCTGCCTTTTAAAAAATGGGAAAGGCTGCAGGGTCTGGGGAGGAGCTGGTTTCTTGATTTGCTTATACCTTGTCTGTGGCCTCAGCTCCCCTCTCTTGTCTGTCCCTGGCCTCCCTGGAAGTCTCTCCTCTCACATGTGGGGAAAGGGAACAGGGCCGTCCAACCCTGTGCCCCTGACCGTGCTGTGGGCACTCCCTGTAGTGCCAGCACCAGCACTCACCACCCACCACCCACAGCGACATGCCCCTATGCAGGGATCAATAAACAAATCCCAGAGTTCCTTGCCCCCAGGAGCTAACACACTAGTGGGTTCACTCTCTGGGAAGCATGGATGTGGCTTGCACATTCCAGCTCACACTGGGTCGTGCACAAACCACAAACCACATACACTTACCTCCCTCACCCTCAGCTCCACACAGCAGGACATGGGCACAGGCCCCGGCAAACTCACACATCACTTCCCATCACTGCTGAAGTCCTGCAAGTCCCCATGCATTTGTACATCCAGAACATGTGGGTGCCCATACGTGTCCAAACCCTCCAAACCTGCACAAGCACGCACACACACCCCCCATCCCTGCCTGGGGTGCTCACATACAAAAGAGCCCGGGCCTGCCCTCATCTGGAGGCATGAGACTGAAAACGATAGACACAGACGACCCCCAGACCTCACTGGGAGCCCAGGCAGGGACGCACACAGCCACCACTCCCCTATTCCCAGGGGGCAGGCAGGCCAGCCAAGAGCCACACAAGGGGGACTCTCCCGCTGTGCACTGTGTAACCCTGGGGGTAGGGGCAGACGGCAGAGCGGCCCCATCTGTACCACCCTCCACCACACACACACACACACACACACACACACACACACACACACACACACAAAGGGGCCGAGCCTCGGCCTATGTCACGGGCACAGGCCTCCATCTGCTATGAGACTGTCCCAGGGGACAGCAAAGATTTCTTTCCTCTGCTTTGTGAACCAAGAACATCACAGGCATCTGACTGCAAACACCAAAGACAGCAGGACCCGGGCAGTACAGCCACCCTATCCTGTGGAAGATGGCTTTTCTGCAAAGTCCCTCAGCACACAGTGGATCTGGGGCCTCCTGGAGCAGAAGCAGAGGCCGATGAAGTGGCCAAGTTCAGAATGAGGTGCCCTGAGAATTCAGGGTGTGGACCCAGAACTCAACTGTCCATGCCAGGAGGGCCCCTAGAGGCCTCGGTGGACCATGGGGTAGGGGCAACCCACAGGGCAGCTCCTCCCTGGGTTCACCCAGCTGGTAGGCCCAAACCCAGGGTTCTGCCTTCTTAGCAACAGCCTAGACCTCCCCTCTCCCATGGCCGGCTTTTCCTCTGGCTGGGTCCGGCTTCCCACCTTGGCTTGCTCATTCCCAAGTCTTGCTCCTCCACAGTCTCCAAGCCCAGGGAATAGTTCCTGCACACAGGACAGTGGCCACTAGATGGCATGATGGCACCAGAAAATTCCAACCTGGGCTGGCCAAGAAGCCTGCCCAGACTTAACCCAAGGGCTCCAATAAATGCCCCCTGAACACACACACCCCTACCCTGCCCTGCCACTGTTGGGCACCCCAGTACAGGGCAGAAAAAGTCCCAGTGTAGCATCCACAAAAATGGGAAGAGACTCAGAGGGTGAGCAGGAGGTGACCTGAGGAATGCCGTGGGGGCACTGGGAACTGGGCATTGCTATTCCAGCTCTCAGTCCTGCTCCCAGCCCCATGACCCGCCATCCCTGGCCTCTGTCAACATCCCCGTCACCTCGTGCTGCTGGCACTCACCCTGCTGCCTGCAGCTCCTCAGCCTCTAGTCCCACTCTTGGCCTCTGCCCAGCTCACTTTTTATCCGTGGACCAGCCAAGGCACCAGGCCACCAGGACATACACAGGGGTTCTGCTGACACTGTCCTGGATCCTGTCCATTCCAGAGCCACATCTGGCTCCCACTGGCCTATGCCCCACATCCCCACCTTGTTAGCACAGACCTGGCTCCCCTCACTTCCCCCTCACCCCATACCGCCAGCCACAGTTGGGCAGGGCTGATTCCATCTGCACTTGCTGCAGACCTGGCCGGCTCCCCACGCTAGGTCACATCCCAGAACTTACCCACATGCACCCAGGAGTCTAGCCACACTGTGGTGAGGCGTCCTAGGCAATACTGCTATCCCTGTCCCCTACCCCAGGGGTGTCTTTGTCGCCTCCGGAGATTTCACTCACCTTACCAGCAGGCGGGGCGGTGCTGTGCGTGGGGGCACGGGTGGAACGTTGGACTCCACTGAATGCCGCTTGGCGGGCAGTGGGGGCGGCGCAGGTTCCAAGGGAGCGGCTGCAGGGGCAGTGGCAGGTGGGTGGCAGGTGGTAAAGCAGGCAGGTGGCTGGCAGCTCCTTCGGGGTGGGATGGGGGGTGCGGCTGGCTGGCCCTCGTCCTCTCCAGCCATAGGCAGCGGTTCAGGTGGAGCAGCAGGTACAGGTGCAGATGAACGGAAGATGTGGCGTTTCATGGGCACAGGCCGGGGAGCAGGGGAGGGGAGAGGGGCAGGGGGTGTGTGGGCCCGGAGCAGGCCAGACAGGATGCGGCGACGGTGGCCCGGGAGCAGCATGCCCATGTCTAGCAAGCGGGCATCACTGAGGCCGTGGCAATCGGAGGCCCGCACCAGTCCATACTGCTCAAAAAGCCCCGTGTACTGCTCCAGGTGCAGCGCCCGCAGCCACTCGGCCACTGACAGCACAGTGTCACCTGCCTCCGCCATGGCCCCTTCCACAGGGGCCCAGCCTACAGGGCTCTGTCCACGCCTGGAAGAAACAGACAAGAACAGGTTAGAGGTGAGCTGCCTGGCAGTGGGTGCAAGCTCTGCCCTGGAGTTCTCTCGCCTGTGCCAGGCCTCCTAGCACATCCTCCCGGAGTCCAGCCCACATCCCTCAGGCACAGCCACAGCTGCAGGATGGGGCTGATGGCAGCAGCAGAACCCAGCCAGGGTCCTCCCTCAGAGGCAGCAGACTCCAGAGCAGAGGGCCAAGACCAAGGCTGGACTTTAAGTCTCGCTGCACCCCTGGGAGAAGCAGAGATCAACCCAGCCTCAGCCATCCTGTGGTGGCCCTGGGAGGGATGCCTCCCACCACCAGGGAGGGGGCAGTCATTCATTCATTCATTCATTCATTCATTCCTCATTCATTGCAAATACCCTTGGGGCAGGGGGAGGGGAGCTCAGATTCTGCCCCTGCTCCAGAGTTTCCCGGGAGGTGGGAACCCACCTAGGTGGACAGGAAGGTGACTGACAGGAGAGAGAAATCAGCTGACTAGATAGCATAAGACAAGACAAAACTCTTAGCAAAACAGAAATAGACCAATACTTCCTTAAGCAAAGAGCCAGTCAGTATCTTGCTTAATGGAAACACAGCAATTCCCATTAAAGTCAGCTATTATCATCCACATGGCTCAGCAGGGTCTAACGCAGGCAGACAGACCAGAGGCACAGCAGCTAAGATGGATGGATCAGAGAGCTGCCCGTTGCCAAGAACCTGACCTCTGGGCCAGGAGGGAGCAGCAGCTCGACTGGTAAACCATCACAGACATCAGACATCAGCGATTAGAGGGACCCGGCAGGAGGTGAGGCTGAGAGCCAGCTGGCAGAAAACATCCCCAAACAGAAAGCCCCGAGAAGGAGCTGCGTAGCGAAGGCACCCAGTGCAGGGGCAGAAGGCAATGGACGTGACTGGGGACCTGACAGGAGGGCTGTGGGCAGAAGATGCCACCGTACGTGGCCCGGCCCGCTCCATGCCTTCTCCAGGCACACACGGTCCTTTTACACACACCCCAGGCATATGCCAGAAGCAGGCAGAGGGCGGGCAGAGTGCAGAAAGCAGCTCTGGAGCCCTTGATGATGTCATGATCATCACAGTGATGAATGGAAATGGTCCCAATCGTTAGACCAGCAAGGGATCCTGGCACCTGAGCAGCTGGACCAAGTAAATGTAGCAGGAAACTCAAAAACAGGCCTGCAACATCTAAGAACTGAACAGAAACCAAATAACATCTCACACTACTGACGGGCAGATGGATCGTCAGGTTGCTAGGACAGCTGTGGAATAAGTCAGGGGGTAGGAGGGAAGCAGATCCTGACCTCATACTTCACAAAATCCAAGCCAGAGCAGAAAACCAGGAAAGGATTGAAAAAACATCACCCCAAGGAGGCCTAAGCCTTTTTTTTTTTTAAGATTTATTTATTTTTATTGGAAAGTCAGATATAGAGAGGAGAGACAGAGAGGAAGATCTTCCATCCATTGATTCACTCCCCAAGTGAGCACAACGGCCAGTGCTGTGCCGATCCAAAGCCAGAATCCAGGAACTTCTTCCATGTCTCCCACACAGGTGCAGGGTCCCAAAGCTTTGGGCCATCCTTGACCACTTTCCCAGGCCACAAGCAGGGAGCTGGATGGGAAATAGAGCTGCCAGGATTAGAACCGGTGCCCATATGGGATCCCGGGGCATTCAAGGTGAGGACTTCAGCCACTAGGCCATGCCGCCGGGCCCAAGGCCTAAGCCTTTTGGAAATGCTACAAACCCAGGAGATGAGACTGAAAATAGAAGACTACAGCCACGTGTCACAGGGCCATATTGTGGACAACAGCCTCCCACCCCAGGGACTGTGGCCCCATAAGGTTACAAAAAGGCTGCAAAAGTCCCTTGGCCCTGCAACTTGTAGCAGAGGTGACACGGCAACACAGTGCGGCAGTCATCAGCCTGGGTGATGCTGGCCCTACCATGTCTGCTGCCGGTATAGCACATCACGTAGCAGCAGCTGGCAGTGACACACCATTGTGCTACTGGTGCACACCTCTCCTGTGCTGTTTGTACCACTGACTTTGGTGTGGTCTGCTACTCAGTAAACAGAGCACAGGCCGTGTGCCGTGGTGGCGCTAGTGGCAGCCTCACCAGATAGCTCATTCTGTCCGCTACATCAAGAGGTGACACCCCACAAGAGGGTCCCTGAGTCACCCATGTGTCCGGGTGAGCACACACCACGATGGCTATCACTCACCTCTCCGTGGAGGCAGAGCACCCCCACTGTGAAGCCACACCTGTCTGCCAAACCCCACCCAGCACTGTGACCACAGGCTCAAGGACATCCAGGACAGCCCAGAGGACCTGTGTGTTACACCCCTGGCCCCCCAACATCCCGAAGGGCTCTTTCCCTGACTTGTTGAAAACACCTCGAAATAAGAAACAGACCAGCAACCCAACAGCAAAGTGGGTGAGCAAAGGAACGGGCAATTCACACAGGAAGGGGACACACACATGGCTCTTAGCCACATGGAGGGAACTCCGCCCCTCGCCAGGAGAAAGGCACAAGAGAGAACACACTGTGACCTGCCGCCATCAGACTGTCGAGCAAAAAGTCGGAACTGCACAACACGGTCACTAGCTCTCCCCGCCCTGTATCTGCGGGGGGCCCCTGGGGAGGGCAACACCCCTGCCATAAAAACCCTGGGCACCACTGCCCTTCGACCCAGACCCCCGCCCCCTCCCCACCGAGGTGCGGCCCGCAGCCTCGCCAACACACGTCTGGCAAGAAAGACCAGCACACAGCAGCCCATTGGCTGCAGCACTGCATTTGACAGTGGAAGACTGGAAATAACCCAAATGCCCCTGGCGGGAGAATGTTTAACAGGGTGCATGCACAATAGAAGGCTTGAGCCTCAGGGAAAGGAGGAACCTCCTGGTGTCCCGGCACGAGGTGACCCCAAGGCAGAAGATTGCACCAGCATGTGCACAGCACGGTCACGTAAGCCCCTCACTGCAGTCATGGAGGCAGGACTGAGAGGGAAGCTGAGAGGCACCATTTGAGGTGCAATGGGTTAAGCCAACACCTGAGACAGGCGTGGCGTGCCGGGGATGGACTCCCTGTCGATTCTGATTCTGATTTTGATCTAGCTCCCAGCTAATGCATCTGGGAGACAGCAGAAGAGGGCCCCGTACCTGGGCCCCTGCCATGCACATGCCAGACACAGATGGGGCTCCTGACTCCTGGCTTTGCCTAGCCCAGTTCCGGCAACTGTGGCCATCTGGGAAGTGAACCAGGCAATGGAAGGTTCTCTCCCTCTCTGCCTCACTCTCTCTCTCTTTGCCTTTCAAATACTTTTTTAAGCTTAAATTTCTTAATGCAAAACTTTTGGAATCCAGGCAGTTTCTTTGTGTTGCACAGATTCTGGGAACTTTCTGAAGACCTCAGGTAGCACTGTGCCTTTGATATTTAAAAACAAGGATGGGGCCAGTACTGAAGCATAGTCATTAGGCCTCTGTCTGCAGCACCAGCATCCCTTACTGGTACCAGTTGGAGTCCTGGCAACTACACTTCCAGTCCAGCTCCCTGCTTGTGGCCTGGAAAGGCAGCAGAGAGTGGCACAAGGCCTTGGAACCCTGCACCTGTGTGGGAGACCCAGAAGAAGCTCCTGGCTCCTGGTTTTGGATCGGCTCAGCTCCAGCCATTGTAGCCATTTGGGGAGCGAACTGGCAGATGGAAGATCTTTCTGTCCCTCCTTCTCTCTGTAACTCTGTCTTTGAAGCGCCCACAGGGTCCCTGAAAAAGCACACAGGGGATAAGCAACATGGGTTAATCATTTCTCCCGAGGCAGGAAGCAGGACTGAGGGGCAGGAGGGACAAGGGGAGAACTTGACATCTGCACAACGTGGATGATCCCGATAAAGAATGCTGGAAGAGCCCCCGACAGCAAATGCCACAGGAAAGCAGAGCCACACGTGCACATGCATGAGCCCCCTTGGGCCTGGAGGGGGCCCTGGGTCAGCCGCCCTGAGCACCCCCGTCCCCAGGGAAAGGGAGCCTTTCACTCTGCTCTTCCCTGTCATCTGTCCTGAATTATGTGAACTTTAATAAGGATGATGATGATGGAGGAAAGGCAGTGTGAGGGGGGGCTGGTGCTGTGCGGCCACTTGCGAGGCTAAAGTCCCCTATCATAGCACTGATTCATGTTCCAGCTGCCCCACTTCCAATCCAGTTTGCTGTTATGTACCAGCAAGGCAGCGAAAGATGGACCACGTGCTTGCGTCCCTACCACCCATGACGGGGACCAGGCTAGAGCTCCTGGCTCCTGCCTTTGCCTGGCCCAGCCCTATCCATTGCAGCTATTTGGGGAGTGAACCAACAGATCTAAGATTCTTTTCACTCTCTCTGTTATTCTTTCTTAATTTTTAAAAGTGATGTGAGGGCCTCAGAGAAAGACACAAACAAAAACCTATCCAGGATTCATGGATAGGATGGCTCTCCAGATTAAAAAACAAACAAAAAAAACACCAGGTCATCAGGGTTAAGCTACAAGTTCAAGGCAATCCCAACTAAGATGACCAACAGGGATTTGTTAAGACAGGCAGACTGGGAAGTTCACCCAGAACGATACTGAAGGCCTTGGGCATTGGCAGAGTGGTTAGGCCACCCCTGGGAATACCTGAGTTTCTCTACTGGAAGTGCCGTGGCGTGGGTCACAGCCCCAATGCCAAGTCCAGCTCTCTGATGGCACATACCATGGAGTGGCTGAGTCCTCACCATTCCTCCTGCAGAACTACTTTACATTCCCTCCTTCTGTGTAGGCCTGTCCCAGCCCACTGTTGGGAGTATTACAGAAGTGAGCCAGCACAAGCATACACAAGAATCAGGTCAGGTATCACCTCAGATGAAATTTCTATAGGAATTCTCCCAACTGAACTGCTGAACTTAGAACCCCAACCATGGAGAGAATTGCAGATTCCATGGTCAGATCATGGAGTGCATGTGTCAGAG